ATATCTCTATTTATTTATCAAAATAAAAAAGGTATCTACTTCACCAACAATCCAATTAATAAAAATAAGTTCTTATTACTGTAAAGAATATTGCATTACCTGCCGGGATTTGCTGCGCTCATTGAGTCATCTGCCGGCGCCCCCTTTCCCCCCGGAACTGGGCGGTTCCGGTCTATTCGCGAGTCGCGTAGAGGAGTGGCGCACGTTCCCGGTGGCTCGAGGCGAGCGCCGGCCAGGAATAAATTCGTCGCTACCGGCGGCCGCATGCAGTTGCAGTAGGTAGAAGTATTCGGATGTAAGCAGCCGCGAGTAAGTAGTCAAGTAGTAGAAGTAGTAAGCAGTTAATGTGTCTGAAGTGGAAGCTGAGCTGTAAAGTGTGCATCGTGGTAAACAGTGGTGCAGTAGGGGAACAGCAGTTTGACGTCTGCAGTGGAAGCTGAGCTGTGGAATATGCATCGTGGTAAACAGCAGTGCAGTGGATCCTGGTCTGCGCAGTGAATTGTGGACTGCGCTGTGAATTGTGGTCTGCGCAGTGAATTGTTGTCTGCCTAGTGAATTGTAGTCAGCGCAGTGTACCGTGGAGAGTGCATCGGACTGTGCGATAGTGTGGAAGAAGTGTACAGTGTAAATAAATAATCAAGAGAACAGAGTCGTGTGTACGGAAATAATCAAGTGAAGAACACAAGGACTGTGAAATATATCTGTAAATAAATCAAGTATTTTAGTGTAGCATTGTTTATGAATAAATATCTTTGTTTAAATAATACCTGTGTGGGTGTGTTTTAATTCACCACCGAGAAACATTTACATTACATAAAAAAACTTGTACAAGGTCTGCACATTTCTTATTTTACTTCTGTAACTAACTAAAAAAATTCTTCAAATCAAAATATAATGATAAAATTTATCACTCGTTAACCTGACATCCCACATATGAGGACACTGCTTTCCTACTTATTCCCAATTCCAAAATAAATAAGATTTGTTTCTTCTTTCCTAAAATTTTACAATTAAGCAAATAAATAAGAGTCAATTCATTATTTTCATATTTTAACACATCATGCATCTCAGGGTTGAAAAGAACATAGGATTTATTTTCGTTGAAGTTTCTAATATTCGATAATTATGCAAGAAGGTAGAAATATTGCGAGAGCGTATGTGCTGTTATTGCCATTAGTTTTACTTTTTGCCTTACAATGTACTTACGTCGTGAAGAGAGCTGCGACAGTCAAGCGTAATGAGGAGAGAATCTTGTAATCAGCAGTTTGTCTAGATTAAAGTCATAATGTGAAGTCATGGGTTCGAAAAAGACGTTAAATATAATAAAATAAGACGCTGTGTATTAATTCACATTTTGAGGGTTCTTGATATTGAAAAATTGGGTGACGGCAAAACTTCTATAGTCAACAGTAGCACCTTAACCGTTCAGTCAATATTCTCTGAAACCGATATACCCCGATCGATCTGGCCGAATGAGAGGTTATTTTGATTTTGACGGTATTTGACAAATATTACGACACACTTGAGTCGTAAAACAATTTTCACAAATACGGCTCCAAACTTTTTAATTAAAGTTTCCCTCCAATTGCGCAAAACGACTCTTCAACACAATAGCACGGATTTCTTTTGATTTGAAATGTCTAAATTTAAAAAAAATGCAAAACTTCAAACTTTGGGGCATATTCTTAAAATTACTGCATTAAAGATACATATTTTTCAATTAAATGAAATCTTTTCTACACAAACAAATCTTCAAATGAGTTGATGGATATTTTTTCGGAAATATGGGCAGTTTTCTCGTAATTTGTATGAAATATTGTCAATATTTAAACAATTATTTTCGCAATAACATGTCCAAAGGTGTATGTAGCAAAGGACGGTATAAAAAGTGGTGCTAGACTTATTTCCAGATTATTTTCGAAAATTGCAAAAATGTATTATTGCAAATGTAACATAAACAAAAGTAACTAATTGCTTGAAATTTACAAAAACATTCTGGAAACCGCTCCAAATTTTTTCTCAAAATCCACTCGAAATTTTTTCTTTACATTTTCTCTACTTAAGAAATATGGCCTTAGTCCCATTTTTGGGTGTTGCTCTTTCTTTTTAATTGCAAATACATTTCAAAACTACAAATTTGAAGATAGAAATTTTTGCGTCAGACAAAGTTTGTTGTACAAAATTAACTATTTAAATAAATAAATAAATAAATAAATAAATAAATAAATAAATAAATAAATAAATAAATAAATAATGGTGCTATAGAATGTCTCACACTTTCTCGACCTAGTTAGTTTTGTATTCTTTATAATCTTGCCCAACTTTTCCGATGGGCGTGTATGTCTTCTCGCATTTTTTATTTCGTCACCCGAAAAATAAATATTTCTTAATATTTTCTTAATTACTCGGCTCCGCGTTGATAGACCTGAAACCTCAATACACTTATAACTCGTTTCGAACTTCTCGCTACATATTGTAACTGAATAGTCGAGCTAGCTAATTGGGATGAATTCGGGTAGTAAGATCGCTTGATAATTCCAGAAAAATATTGAAAACCATTTGAAAATTCTTATCTCAAATCCTATTAACTGGTTCGAACCTCGCTCAGGTATAATTATTTGTCACAACTCTGTTGCCGCAGAAAACTATTCAGAAACTTTATTAAATATTTTATACTCACATATAGATTCTATTAAAATGCTTAATAAAGTGGAAGTGTCTGTATGTCATTTTCGTATTTTGAAATTTTGAAACAAGTTTATAACTCTCTTATCCTATTTGTAAAATGTATGTCGTATTCTACAGAATAAGTAAATGCAGTAGCTGAAGCAAATCATTGTTTTGAAGGGAGTCAGTGTAAAAAAACGTTATCGAGTACGTGATTTATACAAAATGCATTATTCAAGAATATCTGTTTTACAAATAAATCTAAAGTGAAAGTGCATGCTTAAATATTAACAAGTACAACTCCATTATCTTTATCTACCAACAGTAAATGATGACCATATTAAAGTAAAAATATTATTATTGTTATTATTATTAGTATTAGTTTTATTATTATTATTATTATTAGCCTAATCATTCCTAGCAGAGCAAAGGCCTGCGGAACGCTGGGAAGTTCCCAACGCCACCTAGATTAAAATGTCAGGTGACAATGGTAGTTGATAGTCTGAGTTGTACAATTTTACATTATTAGTCATGATTATCTAAATGTCACTAGTCAACATTACACAATCAAAGACCATCCATTAGTTAAAATTACACCATTTACAATCACTGATTTTTCTAAGTTATACTCGTAGTAGCCAGAATGCGTTTCCATTCTACTCTGTCTTTTGCCACTGTGAACCATAATGCCTCCGCGGTTTTCTCGAAGCAATCTGGTTTTTTGTCAGCATTGGTGTCCCCTGCCAACCCTAGTTTCCCACACCGTTGCTGTTTGCGTTCAACGCTGATGATACATTCTCATGAGATGGCCTCCCCATTTACATTTGACGTCGGCTGCCCACATCCCGGATCCTTTACGGATATGCGTAACATTTCTATTTCCATTATTCTTTGATTTATCCTCAGCATATTCTTCTTCTCAGTAAGCAACCATGTCTGGGCTCCGTATATTAAGACCAATAAGATACACATATTCATTACTTCTTTTGTTATGTTTAGCTTCACCTTCTTATCTACAAAAATAAACGATAAACACCAGAACTTGTTCCATGACAAGATTTATGGAGATGGTATTGGCATAATTTTCATTAGACTATGAGTTTTGTTTGCTGATCGAAGAAAATGCAATATGAAAACATCAAATGATGTGCTCTCAGCTTACATATCTGAATTTTATTTGAATCTGCCGCGTACGCCATTTTCATACGTTGACCAATCAAGAACGTTTATTTTCTTCTGGTTCTGAATGAAGGTAAAGAATTCTAATATGCTGCCGGGAGACCGGTCGGGAGCTTAGAGTTTGTTCCGGCTGGGGCGGTATCCCGCCGGCGAGAGATACCTGGTTGAGGGAAACTCCGCTAATCGACGGTATGTCGGCGCCGGATCTCGCCATCCAGCGAGGGTAGATCAACGCCACGTCACGAGAATAACCCCCACTGCACTTACGGAACAAATGGCCCTGTTGGCTCTTGTTCGCGCCCGGAAAAACAACCAACCGACCAAGGAGTATGTCAGAGCAAGGTTTCATTCTTTTAAAACAATTAACTTTGTTATGCACGCTCATGTCATACGAGTATGTATGTTTGAGCCAGGCTTGTACAAATGATTTAATGTGTATCCTGTATTTCAATGATTTATTTTAACGTAAATTTGGCCACATCGCTTCTCGCCATGTCACGCAACAATCACACCACTTTTCTACGTAATTTTGAATCAACCATTTCGCTCAATACCATACGTATTAAATATTCTCTTAGCAATTACTAACTAAATAGCAGTCTCTCACATACTTTCATTAAATCTAAAATAAAGCAATTTATAATAATTCTAAATTAACAAATGTTTAACTACATTCTCATTGGCCTAGTCGGGAAAATCCCGCGAACAATGTTTGCTTTTCCACGCCGCTTACGGCTTCGTCACTCGAGATATAATTTTTGTGTGTGATGGTTGTGTCTGTCCCTCTCACTTGCTCACTCATTATTTTTATTATGTGTGTGTCTACGACTCTGGCATTGTGTTAATATATTTAAATGACATACTTGTTGCACTAAATCAAACGGAAATTCCCATTGGCTTTTTCTTAGATTTGTCAAAAGCTTTAGACATTGTTAACCATCACATATTTTTAAGAAAACTAGAAATGCTACGGATTCAAGGCATTGCAGGCCAATGGATAAAATCATATTTATCAAACCGTAGCCAAATAGTAGCCCTCCAGTACACTAAAGAAACAAAATCTCCTCATACTACTCCTGTCCTCAAATGATAAATTGTGGAGTCCCCCAAGTATCCATCCTCGGGCCAATACCATTCCTTATACACATAAATGGCATGCGTTTGGCTTTAAGGAATAACAAAATAATCTTGTTTGCAGATTCACACACATAATCATCAAAGCAAAAACACAACTATCATTAGAAAAAGAAACTCACATAATTTTGCAAGCCCTAGTAAAATGATTTCAAGACAACAAACTCATCATAAACACCAGCAAGAGTCTCTCTAAATTTCATAATTTCCCGATCTAAAGAAAAACCATCACAGCATTTGCTCGTAAATAATAACCCTATAACGATATCTCATTAAACTACCGTCCTCGGTCTAACGATTCAAGAAATACTAAAATGGCATGCACACATCTCAAATTTTAACAAGAAGCTAACCAAATCTAGCTATTTCCTATACACACTCGGGTCAAGCTCCAAAATTGAGTCACTTCGAACAATATATTTTTCAAATGTGCACTCACACCTAAAATATGGAATAATGTTGGGAAATGCCCCTGAAAGCACTCGCACATTTATTATCCAAAAAATACTGCGAACAATGACCAGCACTCATACTCAGCACTTATACTCTAAATTCCGATGTACACAACTACAACACTCGTCAAAAGGATAACCTACATATTCCCCACTCAGAAACTACACTTAATCAAAAAAGTACCCTAATAGAGGGCATTACACTTTACAACATCCTAGGCAATGATATTCCAGACATTACCCCAATTCATACATCTAAATGAAAATTGAAAGTTTTCCTGCTCAACAACATGTTCTACAGTATGAAGGAATATTCAAATCACAACAATATTTCCCTTAAAAAAAATAAATAAATAAATATCCCATTTGATCTTCTCGTTCTTTGATCTTTCATGTTGACTGTTTCGAGCTTAACCAAAGAAAAAAGAATTGGCATATCGCGTCCTGCGACGTAGAAGGAGCATGTCTGAGAAAAATTTATGTTTCTCTCCAATGAGGCCAATTACTCCATCTCGAACAGGTTTTTGTTCAGTTTCCCTGGTCCCTTGAGCAAATGCTGAGATGGCCCCTTCGCACCTGAACAGTAATATAACTTTGCTCTTTCCACCCAAGACATCATATAGACTTCCTACATACACCTTAGAGAAAAATTCAAGGGCGCGGTCTTTAAGTTTTCATTGTGATTCATTTACATAGTGCTGATAATTTCAAAGTAATTGGAGTTTAGAATTATTGCTGCACATTAGCAGGGAGTATGCAAGAATGCACATTTACTGCTTCTTATAGAAACTAGAGGGGTAGCAATGATGTTTGTAACAAAAACAGCAGCGTGGCGAGAAGCAGGGCAAACAAGGTGAGTCAGGTTGATTATATTTAATAATTACCCAGTAAATGCAGTGTACATAAGCTAGTATAGGATTTGAGTTACTGGAGGGATCCCATAGCGGAAGAAAACGTGCAGAGATATCACTTTTCCCCGTAGTACGTGACACAGATTTTTGTTATTTTGGGCCCTAAATAAAGTTAATTAATTACTTAACTAGTGGTGCTACAGAATGGCACATACTTTCTCGTAGTAAAGTTTTCTAATTTCCTTGGTGTAGACTGGCTTTACGGCCATGCCCCGTCCTCTTGCCTGCTGCCATGTATCTCCGCTCAAAGTCCATTTGGGGGACATTTTCTAACTTTTTCGGTTTCACAATAGTAGAACCGAAATATAGCTTTAAGAATATTAAAGAACAGTAAAAAACCTCAGCATAAATGGCAAATTTCACTAAAAAGTTGGAACCGTTTTTAAGAAAATGACGTTAAACGTTACTTGTGAATGCGAAATTTTAAGATCATTTTCAGACTTTTTTGTTTTTGAAAAGCTTCATTTAGAGTCATATAAGGAACTATAACTTGAAAATGCAATAGACTTTACAAATCGTTGAAAATGGACATATCAATGGCGTGAGAGATATTTAAATACATTTGTGTAATTTTTGAAAAACAATTCAGCGAAATGAACTCTGCAATTTTTAACAGTGCATTTAGCACTACCTGTTAGAAACGTTTGAAGAAAAAATCTGGAGTCTTTTTTTTTAAAAAAAATACGTTTGAGAATTTTTTAAAACGCAGAATTTTGAGTCCATTTTAAAAGAAAACTGTTTAGTTTTCGAGAAACTGTATTTGAATATATTTAAAGCACATATCCTCATAAATACAATAATGTGAACAAAACTGCTGCTAATGTAAATATTAACGACGTGTGAACGTCAAAAAACTGTTTGTATTTTTTAAAAAAAGGAATAGAGTAAAATGGCGTTTATCTCATAGACTGCATTTAGCACTATCCTTACCAAAAGTTGGAAGAGAAATATGGTGCCGTTTTTGAGAAATCTTTTGTAATTTTTTAAAGTTGCAAATATTTCACGCAGTATTGCGCGAAAACTACTCAAATTTCAATATTATGTAGACGATATTAATGAATGAACAAACTATCGAAAACAAGTTTCATTTGAAGGAAAAATATCTACTTTTAATTTTGTGGACGTAGGAAAAATCCAAAAAATGAATTTTTTTTAGTTTTCGAAAATTTAGTAAACCGTGAAAATGGGACCTATACCGCCATTTTAAGCGTATTTTACTCTATTCATACAAGAACTTTAGAGAAAAAAATGCAAATTTTCAAAATATTTGAGTTGCTTAATGTAAAAAACCTCCAAATTTTGAAGATAGGTTTTCAAAATTGAAGCGCCTTGAGTCGTGCCAGATCGACCAAACAATATCATTTTTTTGGAAACAAAAATTTCCTTTTGGTTTAAGCGCTATTGCTGTTCCCAGACGGACAGACAGGTGGAGGGACGGACGTTCTGAAAAAAAAACTCAACTCTTTTTCAGTATCAGGTGACCCCACTTTGTATTTCCGTTGAAATCGCGAAATCCATTTTCCGGAGCATTACGTAACTTTCTCTATAATACGTATACACTTCGTATACACGTACATATACGAGAAAGTAAAATAGTGGCCCTACAGAATGGTACAGAATTTCTCATAATTTTTTTTCTTTGATCAAGGTTAGCTGTTCTGACTTTTTTTATTATTCTGTTTATTTACAATCTGTTTTCTTAACAAACATTCAGTAAATGTGTTAATTATGCATTAATTGAAGCTAGAGTACATCGTCATGTGGTTGTTTGAAACGGAATGGTAATTCCAGAATATGGTATCTTTTCAGTCGGTGTTCTTCCTCGCTATTATCCAGTAGATTGATGGCTGATGGATTTGGATGTTTGGCTAACCGCTCTTGGTAGGTGGTGCTACGCTGAGTGATTTCTTCATATATTGTAGGTATCTTAAGGTCTCGACGTAGTGTTTCATTCGTTACGTACCACGGTGCATTGGCTAATCTTCTAATACATTTTGATTCGAATCTTCTGAGTATTTCAATATGTGATTTGCTAGCGGATCCCCAGAGTTGAATTCCGTAGCTCCAAATAGGCCTGATAATTGATTTGTAGAGGAGTACTTTGTTGTCTAAAGAAAGGTTTGAGTGGCGGTTGATGAGCCATGATAATTGGGAGAATCTGATTTGTGCTTCTTTCTTCTTTGCAGTTATATGGTTCCTCCATGTAAGCCGTTTGTCCATATGAAATCTTAGATATTTAATGCAAGATAGTTGTGCTAGGTATACATTGTTTAGCTGTACTTTAGGACACTTCTTTTTGGATAGGGTAAATATGATATTTTTGAATTTGGAGGCATTTGCTTGAATACGCAATCTTTGTAACCATTGTTCTAGTTGGTTCAGGTGCTCTTGCAGATTTAGTGATGCTTGGAATGAGTCTTCATGCACAGCCAAAAGTGCTGTATCGTCCGCAAAAGTTGCAGTTGTAGTACTTTCATTTGGTGGCAGATCATATGTATATAAGGTATAAAACAGGACCCAGCACACTGCCTTGAGGGACTCCTGATTTAATAGGTTGGAAGGATGATAATTCTTCTTGATATTTAATTTGG